AGGGGTAGCGCGGGGCCAAGAAGACGTGGTACTACGTGCTCCCGCTGGAGAACAAGCAGGCTCGACTTGCATAAAGGCCCTCGAGCGCATCATCGCCCATATCCGCTCGAAGTTCGAGGGCGCGGACGTGGTGTACAGGATCCACGGGGACCGGGCGAGCGAACTCACAGGGGCGCTGGTGAAGGAGCACTTCGCCAAGAAAGAGGCGGTGGTAACATCCACGCCTGGCTTCGAGGCCGATGCAAACGGCCGCGCCGAGAAGGGAGTGGGCCTCGCGAAGCTGAGGGCTCGCGCAATGCTGTTGTCCTTCTGGAGGACCGCCAGGCTGTGTGGCCGATGGCAGTGCAGCATGCGGCATGGTGTAGCCGCATGGAGGCGCAGGGGCGCGAAGTGAGGTGTCCTGCATTTGGCGACCGGGTGGCGTCTCGCGTCAGGGACGTGCCCCGGTCGACGCTGTCCGAGAGGGCCGTGGAGAGTATTTTCTTGGGCGTGGACCTTCAATCGCCCAACGCGTGGCTTGTTGGTCGCAAGAACGTCAAGCAGAAGCGACCAGAGCTCAGGTGGATCATCGAATATTCCAGCTCATTTGTGAAAGTGCCCACGGAGGAGCTGGCGCGAGGAGGGGGGCCAGGAGATGCAGAGGAGAGCGAGGAGGCAGCGAGGTCTGGAGGGGGACCGGCGGCAGCAGAAGATGAACGTGACGATCGCGAGGACGTTCTCGGGGAGGTGATGCCAAAGGACATCAGCTGCCCAGCGTGCAGAGGGCAGCATAGGAATCATACGAGGGACGAGCGTTGTCGCCTCGGACCGCTCCTCCGAGACGCTGGCGGTGGAGGAGCTTTTGATCGTGGCGACGGTGATGCATTCTCGTGCCCAGCTTGCCGAGGGCGTCATGTGGCTCACACTCGCGACCACCGTTGCCGACGAGGCCCAGGAGGTGCTGGAGCGGCTCGCGCGGCTTCGTCCCACGGCCTCCCTGTCAGCCTTCTGGTACATCATGATGTTCTTCGAGATCGCGTTCCGTTCGCGAGCGCTGCCGAGACGAAGCTCGACGACGACGACGACGACGACGAGATGCCCCTTGAGTACCAGGAGATCGCAAAGGACGGCGGGGCGCAGGTGATGAGCCAGAAGTCGGTGAACGCCAGCTTCGGCGAGGAGCGCGAGGGCTGGAGACAGGCGCTCCAGGAAGAGCTGGACTCGTTGCGGGAGAAGGACGTGTTCTGGCCCCATCGGCGCTCGAGAGCGCGGTGGCCTCCGTGCCCAGGACATACTGCCGATGTCGACGGCGTTCGCCAAGAAGCCTCCTGACGAGGCCGGTCTCCGGAGGAAGCGTGCACGAGCAGTGGTACGTGGAAACTTTCAGCCGGTCGTGGGCGAGGAGGAGCTCTACACCGCGAGTGTCGACATCGGATCGTTGCGGGCGCCCCTCGCCCTGGCTGCGACGAGCGGGCGGCGCGTCGGAGCTCTCGACGTCAAGACGGCATTCCTCAACGCCGACCTCCCCGTCGACCACAGGGAGATCTTCGTGAGGCCGCCGGCAGCTTTCGTGAAGTTCGGCCTGGTGCCTCCCGGGGAGGTGCGGCGAGCCCAGGAAGCGATCTATGGGCTCCAGGCATCGCCCCGAGCATGGGCTGAGAAGCGGGACCACGAGCTCCTGAAGATGACGGTTGAGCTCGATGGCCGCCGATGCCGGCTGCAGCAGTCGTCTGCCGACCCAGCTGTTTGGGCGGCTCGCGACCAGGAGACCGACGAGACGTTAGGCCTCCTCCTCGTGTACGTGGACGACTTCATTCCAATGTGCCCGAAGGGCTTGGCTGAGGCCCTCAATGCTGCAGTGTCGGAAGTTTGGGCCACGAAGCTCCAGGGAGTTTTTGGGCCGTCGGAGCCTGGCGTGCTCAAGTACCTCAGCGTCGACATCAACGTTGGCCGCGAGGGGATTTCTCTGTCACAGTGCGAGTGCACCGAGGACATGCTCCAGAAATGGGGCCTCGGCGCATGCACGCCGACCGGAGGCCTCAACCTCGAGCGCGAGTCTTTCGAGAACTTCGAGGGCGACGCGGACGACCCCCCAGAGACGGGCCAAGTCCGGCTAGCCCAGAGGAAGACTGGAGGCCTCCTGTGGCTGGCATCGCGAACTCGGCCAGACATTTCTTTCGCTGTCAGTAGGGCCGCTGCGTTGTCCACCAGGCGCCCCGCCGAGGCCCTCATGATAGGCAAGCGGGTCCTTCGATGCCTGGCTGGCACCCGTGGCTTCGGTCTGTTTTACGCGGCGGGCAGCGCGGGTGACACCGAGGAGACCGACGAGATTGCGCTCAAGGTCTGCACCGATGCTTCGATGGAGGAGGCCGGCGCCCAGAGCGGGGTGGTGACCACCATGTTTGGCCAAGTCGTGGATTGGAGGAGCACCCGCCAGGCGGTGGGGCCATTCAGCACCGCCGAGGCGGAAGTCGAAGCAATTGCGGTCGGGGAGAGGATGCTGGGAGCTACGAGGGCTACCTTGGAGTCGCTGGGATTCCCAGTGTCGCCGGAGATGCTCGGCGACAACGCGGCTGCGAACTTGGTGTCGTCAGGGCAGGGGTCGTGGAGGATCAGGTCCCTGACAACAAAAGTGCACGCGGTGCGCTCGCGCGTGCAGAGAGGTTTGCTGAAGATTACTCAGGTAGGCACCGCTGACCAGCGCGCCGATGGGTTGACCAAGTCAGGCGGCCCGAAGGCGATGTCAACTTTCAGGTCACACCTTGGGCTGCGCTCCGTAGTGCGATGCCCCCCGCGACCCCGCGACCTAGGGCTGGTTTGGGCCCTGGTCGCGAAGGCTCCGTGTCCGATGAGGACCGGCACGGAGAGGAGGAGCGTGAATCGGGGGAGCTCCGGACATACCCGCCGCGCGCGTCGGGAGCAGCAGCATTCAGCTAGCCGCTTGGCACGGTATGTAATATATGCATATTTTTGGGGCGGCCCCCCCTGGGGCCTCCCCGGGCATTGCACCCTTGTTTTCTTAGTCGAAGGGTCTGGTCCTTACGGTATCAGCTCATCCAGAAACAGGGGTTGCGCTCAAGGAGCCAAGCCGATGTCTTGACCCACTTAACTTTCACAAGGACCTTTATCCCACAACGTGGGATAACGCATGTTTAATGCAAACGAAATTCGTGACATGTTCGTTGTTTCGTGTTCGCTGCCGTGCTGTGCGGTGCGTGAGGTATAGCATAGCACGGCATGAAACGGACCACGCGGGAACCAACAGTAGAACCGTGGTGCTGCCCCTATGTTAGCACGCGTAGTTGCAAGTTCCCGTGGCGCTGCCCCTATGTCTGAAAATGTGTCTCAAGATCTCTGGGGGCTTAGCGGCAACGCCGCCTCCAGGGATGGGTTGCAATGTATTTTGCATTCTAGGTCAGCAGCTTCAGGCCGACTTTCGCCGTAACGCTGCACTTCGGCTCAAGATGCGGAGTCTGGAGTAAAAAGACTCTTCCGCCCCAGGCGTGGTGAAGCGGAGGGCGGAGCCTCAGCGGCAACGCAGGCTCCTCCTCCGCCTAGCCACGTCAGTGGGCACCCTCTTACTTTTGCACCTCCGCTACCCTCACAATCCCAATACTCGACACTCATTCCCCATCCCGCCAGCACTGGCACTTCATATTCTCAAGCTCCTGAGCGAGGGGACCGAGGTATCGGAGTTGGTGGAACTCGTCGAGACCACAGTGGGCCCGACCAGCCGGACCCGAAGCAATAAACAGAAGAAGTGAACCCTTGGGGTGGACAATGCCCTGCGCACTACCCAGTGGGCGACCAGGAGGCGCCCACAAGCCCCCCCCTCCCCCCCCCACAACGCCCGTTATGGCCTCGAATCAAAAGATGCGCTCATGGACTCCCCACCCCCGTGGCTGGATTTCGTTTACCCCTTCGGCGGAGGGTCCCTCTTCGCGGCACCAGTCAAACCTTGGGCCCTTGGCAGCGCTTCGATTTCTTTATTTCTTCCGCGCGCGCGCCTTGCCGCTGAGCCGCCTGAACTTCTTCTGATCACGTAGAGTATAACTAGCACTTGGGTGCAACTAGTACTAGCGTGGGCGAACGTGCAGATAATGCTAGAGTGCGCCTGGTCCTCAAGTACAACATGAGGGAGGTGAATCAGCTGCAGGTGGGTGAGCAAGTCGTACCATAGTAACAAGCTATACCAGTGCAAATGCTAGCACAACTTTAGTAGAACTACTTCTAGAGTGTTGCGGCCTTACATCTGCAAGCTGGGCTCTCGTGTTGTTCCTCCTCCGGTTGCCCCAGGGGGGGGGAGGCGGGCAAACCCCACACGCGAGCACCCCCGCGGCTGAGAGGCCATTCCTTTTTCGACATTGCAGACGGGGGTAACTCCCGTGCTCGAGCCCCTCGCCAGGAATGATTCTTGCCTTCCGCGGGGACATGACCCCCTGGTTTCTTCGGCGCGCCCCAGAAGTTCTTGCCTTCCGATTGGCCCCCATGGGTCCTACGTCTGAGTCGGCGGGGTGATGCTGGAGACGCCGCCAGGGGTCTGTGGGGGGGGGGGGCCCAACGCCGACCCAAAAACTCCGCGGGAGCCTCCCAGAGTGTGTGAGCGCTGGCCGCGACTTCGGTTGAGGTCGCACTCGGGGTGCCGTGGTCGGTGTTTTGGCGGGCCGCGCCGGTTTCGGACCCTCGTGTTCCCCGCGCTCGCCGCTGCGAGCAGCGCCGACGCGGAGGGGTCTGCGCCCGCGCGCAGCGTGCTTGCTCAGTCGGCCTCTTCTCCTGGAGACGCTGCGCGCCGCCCGCCCGAAGCTCATCCTCGGCGGCGAGCGAGGGGGGGAAGTGCGCAGGAGGGGGCCTTCTCGGAAGGCGGCGGGGCTTCTCAGAGGCCCTCGCGCCTTCTGAGAGGTTTTCTGTGCCTTCGGGGAGGGTTGAGGAGACTTCTCAGAAGGCCCGGGGGCCTCCGAGCCTTCTGAGAAGGCCTCCTCCTCCTCCTCACTTCCCCCCCCCTCGCTCGCCGCCGACTGGAG